CCAAATTATATTTATAAAGCGCCTTTCATGTTGGGAGGATGTCCCAAGACGCTGAAAAGTCGGGGATCAGGACCAAGTGTAGTGGAGGGGTGCAGGGTTGGCTTGGAGCAGGCTGGAGCCCGCTGAATGGAGGGAGCGAACAGATTGATGGGGGTCAATAGGTCAGAGATGTAGGAATGGGCACGGTCGTGGAGGGTCTTGATTCGGGCAATGTTGCGGAGGTGGGGGAAGGCAGAACGGGTCATGGCACAGATATGGGGGAGAAAGGACAGTTGAGGATTGAATAAGATGCCCAGGTTCCTGACTGGCTTGGTGAGGTGGAGTGTGCATCCGCTGATGTTGCCAGTGCCTGAGCTGCCAATCAGGAAGGCCTCGGTCTTGCTGACATTTAGCTGTAGAAAGTTGGCTCTCATCCAGGACTTGATGTCAGACAGACGTCTGTCAGGACATCAGTTGTCCTAGAATCAAGGGTGGAGGCAGAGAGATAGAGTTGGGTGTCATCTGCGTATATGTGGATTATTACAAATGTTTAGACTGTAACGCACTTGGTTCAGATGATCTCTGGGATGGTTCCCTTCAAGACAGTAGCTGCAAGAAATGTTATTTTCTTTGTGGATTGGTCATATTAAAAGGGGAGATAAATGGTTTGGGAAAGTATGAGGGCAAATCTGTATGACAGATTTATCTTTAGTTCAGGCACATATTGAAAAGGGCAAAACTACACTTTCCTAACGTCCAAATCCAGGTCGCTGAAATTAACTTCAGCCCCGGCCTGCAAAAATCCGAGAGGGTCACACTAGAAGAAGTCAATGCATTTATAAAAAATAAACAACAGGGCATTCCTGCAATCTCACCTGAACAATTCAGGGTAGAACAGGGAGGAACGGACAAAATACATTGGACAAGAGACACAGCTCAGACCATAATTAAGCATTGGTCCGCGCATTTAAACTGATAAGAACAGGAGCCCCAGAAAAGCGGGATCTCGGCCTGGGAACTAACATAGTAAACGTCTCCCAGGCATTCACGCCTACAATGGCACAGGCTAGCGTGTTAAATAAAGGACTGACATTTTAAATAAAGGACTGGAAAATTTGAACCCTGACTCTAGGAGAATGTTTTGGAAAGGGTTAAACTGGGTAAAAAAAATAAAAATAAAAAAATAATTGGTAAGGAAGGGTATGTTTCCATTCGACAACCAAATGATGGAATTCTCAAGCACTCTTGGCAAAATGGCACCCCACTTATGAAATTTGTATGTTTGTGTTTTACTAAATATACAAACATCTGCTATAGCGTAACAGGCAGACATACTCAAGAGAGTAAATTGCTGAATATTGATCTCCAAAATCTACAAGCTTTTCAGAGCATTCTTGTGAGTTAAGGGATATTAAACTGATGATGGCTAAACTGGTAGAGGGCAAAACAAGGGATGGGAGTGACCTGCCAACGTCTTAAACAAATTAAGGAAGCATCCTCCTGAGCTCAATAGCTTCTACTGGTGTGCAAGTGGTGAGTCATAATGATACCACCTGCCATGTGGATCTGGTAAGTATCAAGACATTTAATAACATCTGGGGATGGAGCTAGTCTGTACAGCAGGACTCATATCTGGTTCATCAAATGAATTCAGAGACTGCTGACCTTCCTGAACAAATAATGGCTCCCAACATTCAGGTTCCATCAGATGTTGACTGTTTTGGAGGAATATGTGATGGACGAGGCTCTGCTATTGATGAGTACCTTTGAGAACTGTTATCCTCTAATCAGAAGTTTTCTTCCACTTTGCCCTAAACTGAACTTCACACTTCAACCTAAACAAATACTGTTGTTTTCACAGCAGCCTGGAATGCGTTCCACCTAATCTCAGCCTACGAAGACCATTTTGTCTTAACAGTTAGGATTGTGGAGAACTGTAGAAAGTTGTTAAATCGTGTCTTAATTTGGTTAATAATGAAGAAAACTTGCTTCCAAATTAGGACTGAATTGAAGAATTTTCTACAATTCTGTGCAATGCAATTTTAAATGTCGAGACAAAATGCTCTTGCAGGTAGAAGTTAGAGCCTCAGGAATGTTTCAGTGTCCTCAGCAACATCCTTGCCATTGCAAAAATGTATAATGCTGGGCAGAAAGGCTACAAATTTCCTGCATACTTCATGTATAAATATGGCTGATCACTATTGAAGTGATTTCCTTTTTCTTTCCCAAACCACTAGAAGTAGGTGCACATTTTACGTCTGAAACCCTTCACACTGTGTCTTGCCAATTATGTTGCGCCCTTTAAAGACCGCAAGTTTTTGTTATCCTGTGTTTTATGGCTTATGAGCAATGGGTTATTATTTTATATTCATGGTTATATGCCTCATTCCCTGTGCTTTTGCAAACTTTTCTTAATGGTTAGTAGGTGTTTATATATTAAAAATGAATGCGTGTAATCTCATTTGCTTATTAGCACCTGCCCTGAATTATCCAATTTATAGAGATTCAAATGCAACAGTGCCTGAATAAATATAATGCACATAAAAAGCAGGCTCAACGTGCATACCATACAAATCTGATGCACAATGTAAATTGTGACAAAAAATATCAGTGTGGAATCCAGTTCAAAGTGTTAGGATACTGTATGCATGGCAGATTTTTAGATATTCATGTCCTTCAGGGTGCTTTTTATTTTTATGGGATATGAATGGTCTGGCAAGCATGATGTAGTTCTCAAATAAAATAAAAACTCTTTGACGATAACACTATTATTTTTCATGGACCATATTTCAGAGTATGTAACTAACAACAATATATTCCACAGGGTTTGTAAGGAGATTTTATTATAAATAATAAAAATACAATTGTGTCTTTCTATACTGAATTTTAAAATTTTACATAACTTTTACATGATAATTGCTATTATCAGCAGCACTTTGATTAAGGAACCAAGAGTGAACAATGGAAAGGCTGTTTCCCACTGGCTTTATTTAGATTCTGAATATGATTCTGAAATAGAAATGCAAATCTTATCATTTGAAATAGTCCTACATAAATCAATACAATTACAACCATTGAATGTGTTGAATGTTTATTGACACAAAATATGGAGACAGTTTACATTAAAAACACAAGAAAACTCAAATCGCATGAGCAAGGGCTCCAAAGTATGGTAAACAGTTCAAAGTTTAATTGAATGTCCTTCTGTACAGAATTTTAAATTCAGACCCTTTTATATAACTTCTGTGATAGTGTACATATCAGCAGTACTTTGAATGAGCAGCTAAGAGAGAATGAAGGGATTGCTGCTCTCTACTGTATTCTTTTTAAATAGGTTAATTTTTGCAAATCAGTCAAGTTTTATCTGCAGTTCAATAATACAGGTACCCAATTGTCTGAAACACAACAGGGGCTGTCGTAGCACCTTCCATATAGATGACTGAAAGTGCAGTCAAAGAGGTACCTTGAAAGAGGGGAAGGTATGGAGACTTCACTATGGGAAAATAAACACAGGATAATTTGGACAGTAACAGGTTGACAGGATGAAGCTTTTGCGAGTCAAACAAGAATAACCTGCGGCAAAGCTCTTCCCAGTGTGTAAACATTTCATCCCATTTTCATAACTGGCCTTTGGAAACATTCATTCAGTGTGCCAGTGACAGATATCCAAGCCTTTGCTATGATTGGCAATATGATAATATAACACGGTAGAATTGAATTCCACAAAAACAAGTACAGTGGAAGGCTGTTGAACAGGATACATTGGGGCCACTGCTGTTGCTGATTAGGAGACCAAGTAGCAGCCACTTAAAGGTGATTGACAGCCAGCCGCCTGCAGCCGCTTCTACATCGATGGCCACTCCATCCATTCACAAGCCAATTGTAATTTGACTCCGCCCAAATATAACACAATAAAACATTCTCAATGAAAACATTTATGAACAGTGGATCTTTCAAACTGCTCAAATCATATTTGAGAAATTCAAACACAGTTGTAACCAATTTTTTATACAATTCACTGTTTTAGGTTTTCAACCTTTGACCTACTATTCTCAGTTAGATCTGATCTACAAGTTGAACAATTGAAACATTTGGACATTTTTATAGATTACAATGTTCTGATTTTCAACCCTTACTCGGTTTTATTGGTAGCACTTCATAAACAAATTATTTTCCTCCATCAGAGGCAAAAGGGGTGAAAATTATTGCGTGAAAGTGTACCATGAATACTGAGCTGTTCTATTGCTTTGAAGCAACAATCTCTGGTTTTCTCTGCATTTATAAAACAAAAACACACCATTACACCTAAACTCTTTCTACCTTATTTACATCTCTGTAAATGGTTTTACAATATGCAGAAACTAGAAAGAAAAATATTAATATTCACAGCATTTTATTGATACTATTCACAAAAAGCACATTTCCCGGATCATAGAAATTGGTTTGTACAGCTTACAATGAATCATCAGCAAATATATGTAATCTACTTTTGCACATTTTTCTAATTTTTTTTGATCCTTATGTTGCTAAGTCTAGTGAAAAGAAAACGTTCATCAGAAACCTTTGTAGAATACATGGAAATTGCTATCTGCAGACAATCAACCTAGAGAGCTCCTAACAGCAGCCAAAAACCTTTCAGGTGATATTAGCGCATCAGTCCGTGGTCATATAACAGAAACAATTTTATGTTGTGAAGAATGAACTTTATGAATGGACTGGTAATGATTTTCAATTCTAGCTATATCTTTAATTGACAATTCTGAATGTGACATAAACATCTTATATTAAGTCAATACCTATGATGAAGTCGAGTTACAATGTACAGTACTTAATTTTGCTTCTGACCTTGATTTTTTTCGTCATGAGGTAAACCACCTGTGATATGAGCTTCTGCTGTACATAATGGCAAAGGCACTGTATGCATTATGTATTGGATGTATGTTTGAGTCTCTCTTTATATAATGTATATTTGCCATTGTAAGTACACAGAATTTGAAAATATGTGATTTTTTTCTGTTTTCTAACTGTCTGGATGAAGGCATTCATATTTTCAGTTGCATTCAAACATAACTGACCTTCTCTGTGATATGAACTGCTGCAACCTTTGATGTTTCCAGATATTCTTTTCCCAGTGTTTCAATAGAAGGGATGTTGGTCCTCATTTCTGCACAGTTTTTCAAGCTCTCTGTACTAGAGAGCTGCAGTTTGTCTTTGCTTGATGCCAGGGTAGGTACCGTGCTGACTAATATTTTCGGATGAGGCTTTCTGTCTTCCTTGTACTGACAGTAAATATAGCGAGAGAAGGCGGACCGGTAGGTTTTGTTGAAGAGGGTGTACACCAATGGATTGATACCAGAGGAAACATAACCTACCCAGACAAATATGTTCAGGAGTTCTTCAATGAGTTCTTTATCACAGACCTCCAGACATATTACAAACATTACATTTGTTATAAAGAATGGACACCACATCACAACAAAGAGGAAAAACACAATTCCAAGAACCTTGGACGCCTTCTGTTCATTGCTGATTGATTGCATCGACCGTTTTACTGAAGGCCCCAGTTCTTTATTTAAAGACCATCTAGATAGCATTTGTGGTGATGTGTTTTTAATGTTGCATTTTGTTAGCATCACGGCTTTCTCTGATGAGTTGACTGACAGAGGTCCTTTCTGAAGAAACATCCTAAATGGAGACCATTTGGGTTTGGGTTTGAATAAATTTAAGCATAATGTAGCTTCTTGCTGCAAGGCTCTAATAGTTAAGAAATAAGTGACTACCATTATTGTGAGCGGAATGAAGAATGCCACGAAGGAGCCCGCCAGGACAAAATGATTATCTGTCAGAACGCAGCTGCCATCTTTCAAAACTTTTTTTTCATTTTGAAGACCAAAAACAGGGATTGGCATAGAAATACCTTGATATAATTTAAAGAAAAAAAGAACATGTTAGCGATGATACAGCTACTACACAACTTTGCCAAAAAGAAACACATTTTAATGATTTGAGCTGTTTTTGCATTATTTGTACTGCATTCATGAGATAGCAAAGATTTCCTTCAAAAAATGTGTTCACTCAATCCATGACTGTTTGTGGGACACTGCTGTGCGTTATTGACTGCTACATTTTGCCCACAATATATACAGTCAATTACCTTTCCAATATATTCTGTGAAGAATTTTGGGATGTCCTCATGATGTGAAAGGCATTAAACCAAATGTAAGGATCATTATTATTAATAATATATCATTCATTCTGAGTAGTAAATTTAGCCATTACATCTCATCTAATTTACTGACAACAGGAGAATCATCGCAAGTTTATTCTGTCCTTGTAGTGTTTTGGACTGTGGAAATATTGTTAAACATTACTGTACATTTTATTAGAAATGTCTCTTAACTGTTTGTCAATATGATATACAACTACCCGTACCTAGGCTTCAAGCATTTTTACTGTCGAGGCTGCCATCTACTCAGAGAGCAGCCACATGAAAATGCATGCTTTGAACTATGGCAGAATACTATATAATCTTGTTGAATTCACCTTTAGTGGAGTCAAACACGCTTCAACAATAATGTAATTGTCTCTAATACTGACGAACAATAACAGCTCTTGTTCAACTCCCTATTCAGACTAAAGTCATTACACACCCCTCAACATTGTCCCCTTAACTGGAATTGAGAATCAGACTGACAGAACATAGTAGTATTGCCAAATAAATTAATTGAGATGTGTTGACAATATCAATTAACTTGTACCAATCTCAATGCAATAAAGATGCTGCTTAACTCTAGAAATGCTGGAATCACATTTGGCTTTCTTAAAGTATTGAATAACCACCCTAATTCATTCTGATAACTTCTTTTTCAATAAGAAGATTACCATGGAAGATTCGGTGAGGTGATTTTCTTCTAAGCTTAATGGTATGTACTCTCATTATTCTTGTTTGTAATTTTATATGTGTTTAGATGATATGTGATATGTGTTAGAATGGAATTAATTTAAGGCATTCAGCTACTGCAGTCATGGCATATGGCTTGGCAGTGGCACCATTCATAGCTTGGGGTGTGCAGGTTGGCAAGAGTGAAGGTTTTGGGACCCCAGAGTGTGCATTGCATTGCAGGTTAACCAACTAAGTTATGAAGCATGACCATTTTGATTTGAGGATTGCTGGCTGGGATAATGGGAGAAATTCTCTTTGAATAGTGTTATAATATGCTTAAAACTTGAACTGGCAGACAGAACCTCAGTTTAATGTTTCATCAAAAAGATAGCAGCTCTAGTAATGTTTCCTCAGTACTGCACTGGAGTAACTGCCTAGGCTCTGAGTTCAATTCCCAGTTGGGGCTTCAATCAACAACATTCTGGCACTGAGGCAAAAACACAACCAAAGGAGTCGAATTGACAGATTAGATTGGTACTTGGATTTTGGCACTGACTCCCTTTGTTACTCAAATTTGCATCCAGGTTCCAACACACGCCCACTCCAACTTTTTGCTCCACTGAGACCGAGACCCCTGCTCCCATTCCAATTTCAGCTGCTGACTTTCTGAGATGCTTAGACTAGGGGCTCGGGTCTCATACCTGTTAAATTCTAATCCGCTCTATAACTATCTGTATTTGATCTTTTAAGAAGCCTGGATATAACCTGTAAAGAAAGATAAGACTGAACTTTTAAGCCAGGAAAATCTGAAATGGATTAAAAGGATGGGCCCGAGCAACTCAGTTCTCCAAGTGGAAAATACTGTCATCCAACTAACTATGACAGTTTGCAGAGGGTGACTAAGAGCAATAGCGTCTAATTTGTGGGTAATGTTAACCATGTGTAAATCATATTAATTCTTGCATTTGATTCAGTACCTTTGACATTTGGAACATGTCTCAAAGCCCTTCACAGGATTTACTGTAAAGTGAAGTGTAGAGCCTGTGTATTTTGTAAACAAATGCGATAGCCAATTTTGTGTACAGCAATGTCCCACAAATAATCATGGAATGGAGGGATTTGAAGGTGAGAACAAGGACCTTGAATTCAATCTCAGGGGGTTAAGAACTAGTGGATCCATGGCTATTTATGAGACACTGTGCACAATAGGCTGCTGAGTTTCACTCACAAAATATACAGTTAATTTACTTTACAGTATATACTGTGAAGCGCTTTGAGATATCTATATCAAATGCAAGGATTATTATTATTATATATTAAACAATGAAATCAGCTGATAAGCTCAGGAAGCCTGGTGCAAGAGAGGACATGGACTGCAGAATTCTGGATAGTCTGCAGTTTATGTTGGGAAACGCCAGGGCTTATGGCAAGCAGAATGTTGACATAGTCAAGCCTTGACCTGATGAAAGAGTGAATGAGGGTCTTGGCATTCCGGAGGAAGAGATGGTGGCGGTGATAGGCAATGTGACAAAGTTGAGGGTAGACTGAGCAAGTAAGAGCCCAGATGTGGGTCAAACAAGACACTGAGGTTCGATACCTGCAAAGTGAAGTGGAGCGAATGTTCAGGCAGGTTTAAGCACTCTGAGACACCGTCCGGCGTGGAGGGCGCTATATAAATCCAAGTTGTTGTTGCTGTTGTTGTTGATGATGCGGTCAGCGCCAAAGGTGAGAAAGCGCTGATGGGAGCCTTGTTGACATTTATTTGAAAGATGTTAGAGCTCATTCAGGACTTGATGTCCAGCAGGCAATCAGTCAGAACAGAGGAGATTCTGGAATTGAGGATGGCGGCAGAAAGATAGAGTTGGGTATCATCCTCATACATGTGAAAGTGAAACCCCCATGTCTGCGGTTGACGTTACCAAGTAAAAGCAAATAGATGTATTATCAATCCTGTTTAGAGCATCATTTGTTTACTATCATTCTGGCTTCCAGCATTATCCACCTCCTGTCGTACTGGGATACAGAATAACCGAATCACTCTCATATCCATTGAAAACACAACCCAATTATCATCATACCAGTTCTCAGTGGACTCATTTATAATCATAGTGGAAGACACTGCTCCATTTTCTGTTCCATTTTCTATAAAATATATCCTATGTAAGTCTTAATATAGCCCTCATTTTGAGCAGCACGTTTCAAAAATAAAGTCTCATCCCATTGTCCAGTTTCCTCATTCAGTTTAATTTTTATCTGCTATTATATTTCATTTTAATTTGGTATCAATAATGTAGCTGGTAAACCAAGCTTAATGATAACTGAGCTTGGCTCTGCTTTACTGATCAAAAGGCTTCTTGTTTCCTACTTATCTTTATATGTCCACTCTACTTATCAAAACAATGTCTCGCCCACAAAATATACAGTCAATTCACCCTACAGTATATTCTTTGAGGGTCTTGAAGATGTGAAAACGTGCTATATCAAATGCAAAGATTATTTTTATTATTATTATTCTCTTAGTATGGTACAGCACTATTTCCAATGCAATATTGTAATCCTTGGTCTTCTCTGCACAGGGTCGAAAAAATTATTTATGAATTTTGATGATTTGATGCTCATCAAAATGAGGGTTGTCAGTGATGAGAAATTACATGGAAATGCCCTATCGGCTCAACTAGTCTGTGCCATTTGTTATACTCCACACAAACCTCCACTCCTCCTATTCACCTATACCCATCTAATCCCTTCAATGCAATACAATTTACATTTATACAGTGCCTTTTAGGTCAGGAGAATAGCTGGTCCGAGATGGCCTTCTTTGCTCTTCTCCCTCATATATGCATCAAGTTTCTTCTTATATATGTTGATGCTTTTTATTTCAACCAGAGCTTCCAGCAGTGAATTCCACATTCTCACCACTATTTTCATAAATAAATTTCTCTTAAACTTCCTTTTAGATCTACTACTGGCTATCTTCTATTTATGCCCCTCATTTTGGACTCATCAACAAGTGGAAAACACCTTTACATTCACTTTATCAAATCCTTTTATAATTTTAAACACCTCTATCAGGTCCTCTGGTATTCGCTGCACTTATTTCCACGGCTAAGATATCCTTCCTGTATTGTAACAAATAAACAACAACAACAACAACTTGGATTTATATAGCGTCCTCCACCCTGGACGGCGTCTCAGATCACTTCACATTAATGGATCCCGGGGCCGAGCCAGGGGGAGTGGAAGGAAGGTGACCAAAGTCACGGTCGAAAAGAAAGGTCTTCAGCAGGGACCTGAAAATTGGAAGAGAGGGGGCGAGGCGAAGGGAGTGAGGAAGGGAGTTCCAGAGCCTCGGGGCATAGTGGCTGAAGGCACGGCCGACGAGGGTGGAGCGGAGGACTCAAGGGACGAAGAGGAGACCAGACCCGGAGGAACGAAGGCGACCGGGCACTGTTTTGAGGAGAGAGTCCTGGAGTCCTGTAACTCAGTGGTTAGAGCACTCGCTTTGCAAGTGAGAGACCTGAGTTCAATTCCAGGTAGGGCGAAACCTTGGGCAAGTTTCCTTACTCCACACTCCTAATAATAATCCCTCCAAAAACCAAAAACAATAATAAATTGGTCATTTTCAATCTACGACTGTTTGTGGGACATTGCTGTGCGCAATTGGCTGCCGCGTTCGCCCACAAATATACAGTCAATTCACTTTACAGTAAATTCTGTGAAGCGCTTTGGGATGTCCTCCCGACGTGAAAAGCGCTATATCAAATGCAAGGATTATTATTATTATTAGAGATCAGAGAGGTAGGGAGGTGCAGAGGAGTGGAGGGATTTGAATACAAGGGTGAGGATCTTGAAATCGATCCTCTCTGGGATGGGCAGTCAGTGCAGTCTGGCAAGGACTGGGGTAATTGGGGAGCGTAGTTTGGTGCGGGTGAGAATGCAGGCGGCAGAGTTTTGAATGATTTGGATTTTATGGATAGTGGTGGATGGGAGACCCGCGAGGAAGGCGTTTGAATAGTCCAGCCGAAAGGTGACAAAGACATGGACCAGGGTTTCAGCGGCTTTCGGAGAGAGGTATTGGCGGAGGCGGGCGATGTGTCGGAGGTGTAAGAAAGTGGTGCTGGTGAGGGACCGGATGTGAGGAAGGAAGGATAATTGGGGGTCGAACCTGACACCTAGGTTGCGTACAGGTTCGGAGAGTTTTAGGGGGAGGTCGGGTAGGTGGAGGAGGTGAGAACCATGAGAATTTAGACGTTGACGAGAGCTGAAGAATATGGCGTCCATCTTGTCAACATTTAGCTGAAGGAAGTTTGTGCTCATCTAACCCCTGAGGTCTGACAAGCAGGCTGACAGAACATCAGGGGACTGCGGATCACAAAGAGAGGTGGAAAAATAGAGTTGGGTGTCATCCACGTACATGTGGAAATGTACCCCATGTCTGCGGATGACATCCCCAAGAGGGAGCATGTAGATCAGAAAAAGGAGGGGGCCAAGGATGGATCCTTGGGGTACCCCGCAGGTGACCGGGTGAGAGTGGGAGGAGAAGCCATTTGTGCAGATATACTGCTGGCGGTTTGTGAGGTAGGACTCAAACCAGACGAGTGCAGTCCCACTGAGGTGGACGACAGAGGAAAGGCGGTGGATAAGGATGGCGTGATCGACTGTGTCGAACCCCACCGAGAGGTCCAAGAGGACAAGGAGGCAGAGGGAGCCCTGGTCACAGATAGAGAGGATGTCATTTGTGACTTTCACAAGCGCAGTCTCTATACTGTGGGCAGGGCGGAACCCGGACTGGAGGGTTTCGAAGAGGGAGTAGGAGGAGTGGTGTGCACGAAGTTGATTGGCAACAATGAGTTCTAGGACTTTTGCGAGGAAGGTTAGAAATGGGGCAGTAGTGGATAGGGTTTGAGGGATCTAGGGAAGGTTTTTTCAGGAGGTGACGATGACAGCAGTTCTAAGGGGGCAGGGACTGATCCAGAGGAGAGGGACTGGTTGTTGAGGTCAGCCAGTAGTGGGCAGAGGAGGGGGTCGAGGCAGCAGATGGTGGGTTTGATGGAGGTGATGGTGGTGAGAGGAAAGAGGGAGAGATGGGGAGGAAGGAATGTAGAATGGGGTTGGTGGTAGGAGCAGATGATGGGGAGGGTGAGGGGGACAGAGAGGGCATGGTAGTGGGTGACAAGAGGCAGGTGGATGTGGTGAATTTTAGATGAAAAGAAGTCCTTGACCTCCTTGCACTTGGCATTTGATATGAAGATTGAGGAAGCCTGAGGGGGGCACGGAGGAGGTAGTGGGTGGTGGAAAAAAGGACTTCAGGGTTGTGTTTAGTCTCCAAGATGATGGAGTAGAAGGCCGTTTTTGCGTGTGTCAAAGAATGGCGGTAGCTGTGGAGATGCTCGAGCCACAGTTGGCAGTGGACTGTCAGGCCAGTTTTCTGCCATCTGCGCTCGAGCGGCCGGGTTTGGGTTTTTAGGGAGCGGAGATGGTTGTTGTACCAGGGGGATCAAGTGGGTTTGGAGGTGGTCCTGGATTTCAGGGGCACGAGGGAGTTGAAGGTGGAGGAGAGGCGATCATGGAGCAGACCAAGGGAGGCTTTGGAAATGAAGGCCACCCTGCCGCCACGTTGATTTGGATGGGGGTGTGGTGGAAGGTGCAGCATGGAGGGGAGGCTTCAACTAGGGAAACGGGGCCATTGGGGGAGAGTCAGGTTTCGGTGAGCCCAAGAATGTCAAGGTGCTCGTCCAGGATGAGGATAGCGAGGGCTTCATTTGAGAGGGAACGGACATTTTGGAGGGAAATGCGGGTGGTTTGCTGGAGGGAGGGGGGGAGGAGAGAGTGATGCGGAGAGGATTTTTGGGTGTACAGGAGAGATGGTTGTAGAGAATAGTGTGAGTGGAGAGTTGGGGAGGAAATGTATGAGGAAGGGGGAAGTTGGGTTTGCCTTAAGCAGGCGGTTTGAGCGGAAGGAGTAAATGATTGGACACTTGGGGTTGCTGCTCTGGGGCAGCCAGTGCCGGGAGCCATGATGGGCCCAGCGGAGGATGCCCAGGCTGGAGCAGAGGGAAGTGGTGATGGGGTCGAGGAGAGAGAGAAGACGGGGAGGGCGGTGGGAGAGAAGGACAGAGGGGGAGTAGCAGATGGAGGGGGGTGGGAGGAGAGACATAGAGGGTGGTGTGAGGAGAGACATAGAGGCGGGTGGGAGGAGAGACATTTAGAGGGAGGTTTGGGTCGGGCCGGTAGCCAAAATGCGCACTCAGAGACCGTAAGCGAGCGATCAGCGGGATGGCATCAGCCTCAGGTTTAGCCTCCCAGGTCGTGGCCGAGATGGCAGTGGCAGCAGCTGCCAGGCTATTGTTGTTGTTGCTGGTTTTTTTATATAACAGCAAAATTACATTTGTAAAGCGCCTTTCCGGTCCGGAGGACGTCCCTTGGCGCTGAACAGTCGGGGGTCAGGATCCAGGCGTAGAGGGGCAGGGTTGGGATAAGGGAGGGCAGAGAGGTAGAAGGGCGGCTGAAGGCACAGTCGAAAAGGAGGGCCTTGAGTCGTGCCTTGAAGGAGGTAAGAGAGGGAGCAAGGGGAAGGGATTGTGCGATGGAGCCCCAAAGGGTGGGGGCAGAGAGGCTGAAACTAACTACAGTACGTCAAAGGATCTAACCAAGATGTTATATAAATGTAAAATTCCTCTGGACATAAAGTCAAGGAGTCTATTTGTATTCTTTATGACCTTGTCCATTTGTGCTGCTATTGATTATTTTTTCCATTTGGTAATTATAGTTAGGTATAGTAGAACCCTATTATTTCAGCTCCTTGGGATGTCTTCCTGATGTGAAAGGTGCAATACAAATGTAATGTTGTATTATAATAATAATAATAATCCTTGCATTTGATATAGCGCTTTTCACGTCGGGAGGACATCCCAAAGCGCTTCACAGAACACACTGTAAAGTAAATTGACTGTATATTTGTGGGCGAACGCGGCAGCCAATTGCGCACAGCAATGTCCCACAAACAGTCGTAGATTGAAAATGACCAATTTATAATTGTTTTGGGTTTTGGAGGGATTATTATTAGGTGTGTGGAGCAAGGAAACTTGCCCAAGGTTTCGCCCTGCCTGGAATTGAACTCAGGTCTCTCGCTTGCAAAGCAAGTGCTCTAACCACTGAGCTACAGGACTCCACAGTATTGTATTATAACCCACTTCATTGTTGTTGTTAAGCACATGTCTACAATTCCAAGTATGATTCCCCACTCTCTCTTCCCTGTCCATGGGCCCAGCACAATGGTATCACCTAAGAGATTCTCTTTCCTGAAAGCTTCCCCTATCACACAGATTGGAATTTAAGTGCAGCAAAAACATGAAATTGACCAAATTCAGTGAGTATCCAGTGAAGCAGAACTCAAAAGTGTCTCCGAGAACTGAAATCAAAGCCAGCGATGTTCTTGAAAATTCAAAGGTGGCACTGACTTGCGATGCATCTAACGTGAGGAAATTGAGGAGGTGTTAGTGACCAATGAAAACACTCTGAATTTTCATTAATTCAAATTGTGTTCAAGGAGATAATGAACCACACTACGAAAGGCTGCAAAATTAACCCCATAGTATCTCTACATTGTATAGACCAAGAAAGCGAAGGGAAGAATACACTCACTGGAGTGTAAAAAAACTAAAACTTCCAAAATCCAGTCCTCCATTTATCGAACCCTCCAGAGGATTCCTATCACTTCCAGTAATCAGAGGGGTCGAAAATACAGATGCTTCGACCTAGCTTTCGCAAAGATTCGAACATATTGAAATATGCTGTTAAATATTGTCACAACGACCTGCTCTGATCTAATGCCAAATCCTTCTTGGATACACATTGGAGTGCAGTTCCTGTGGGTTGGAATGAGGAAAATCTGGTTACAGACTGGATTTAATATTCATGAATCCTTTCCAAATCCAGATTGGAACTCTGGACTTTAGGGCCCAACATTAAAGACTTCCAGGTCTGGTGCAGCACTGCCAGCTGCTGAGCAGAGCTTACTCATTTCTGCACCAACCTTAATGTGAGTAACCACAACCAGCAAAAAAACAACTCCTGCTATACCATCGGGAAATTTTCTAGATTGCACAACCAGCCATCCCTGACCTACTCTGAGCCAGGTTGTGTCGTGCCAAATTATGATAATAATATTAATAATCCTTGCATTTGATATAGTGCCTTATCACATCTCCGAGACATCTCAAAGCGCTTCACAGAATATAAAGTGAATTGACCGTATATTTTGTGGGCAAAACGTAGCAGCCAATTGCACACAGCAGTGTCCCAAAAGCAGTAGTGGATTGATTGACGAAATCATTATTATTATTATTTTTTTTGAAGGAATTATTACTTCTGGAAAAACAACCAGGTTCCTACTTATTGGTAGGTAAACAAAGGTGTGTGGAGTAAGGAAACTTGCCCAACGTTTTGCCCTGCCGGGAATCAAACTCAGGTCTCTCGCTTGCGAGACGATTGCTCTAACCACTGAGCTACAGGACTCCTACATGATCAGTTTCATGTTGTGAGGCCACAGCAAAATTTACTTCATTTAGAATCTTTAGACCAGATGAGGGAGCATCCTTTCACCCTGTGCAGGTGGCTGGATGCTGGTTAAAGATGTAAAAATAAAGTGCACTAATCCATGGCATTATCTAGTTTCCTGCATAAAATTCTATAGCAATTTTGATGGAGTTTTTTCTTGCTGTACTACTCATTGTCTGCTCCATAAACTCTCTTCACTGAATTTACTTTGAATAGTATATAATGACGAATTATCTCAAAATAAATCCCCATTGAGTTCCACCTCGGCAATGCACCACACCATGCTGATTACTATTATAACCATGCACTCAGTACAATCAGGGCCCTTATTACTGTCTGTCTAGATTTTTTAAAAATTAGAATCTATTATTATTTTACTTTAGACACATTATACTTGAAAAGGGGAAACAGAATCACAATTTTCTTGTAGATCCTATTGCATTGTTACACTTACCAGCTGATATGGTCCAAACAGCAATTATTTTCATGAGAGCCTTAGTCCTTGAGTTGAAGCGGCTGTGATGGATGGGATTTCGTATGGCGATATAACGATCCAAAGATATTGCACACAAATGCATTATGGAAGCAGTTGAAAATAAGACATCAAAATAAATCCAAATGGGACACAGTTTTGTAGGTAATGGCCAGATGTATCCTGAAGAAATTAATAAGAGAGGTCAGTGAATTTTAGTTTGTAAATGAAATGTAACTCCACATTCAATAATTTGGTTTTGGATGCGGGCACACATTTTATTTCGAATGCAGAAAACATTTTGTAACAATTCAATTCGCTCACAAATTACACAATCCACGTCTAGCACTCAGAAGAACTTCTAGCACACAGAATTTACAATATATTCTGTGAAGCACTTTGAGACATCTCAACGATATGATAAGATGCAATATCAAATGCAAGGTTTGTTATTATTAATTCTGAGGTGATGAAAAATAAGGCCAAGGTACAGGACACAAGCCTCTGCTTTAATAAAATATTTCATAAAGTGAGCTACAAAATCTCTGAATGTGAGATATTTGGGAAATATCACTGTAAGTTTCAGGTTATAGCAGGTCAGATTTCATGATGACCATAGTGGTCAGATTAGACCAGTACATTTGAGCTATTTAACCCTTCCATTCTCTGAGGGAACAGAGGCAAACTGGGCAGGAGCTTGAAGTTCCACTGTAAGATCATTTTATCTTAAAATGTAAGATCCTACAGAATTGTTAAAAAATTCTTAAATTCAGTCTTAATTTTGAAGCTGAAAGAACCGTAGGAAACTTCAGGCTTCTGTGCAGCTATTTGACTGACATGCAAAATTGGCCAAAATGAAACCAAGAAGCAGCAGACCAGGGAATGAGCATTTGCTACTCCATTTGAAACTTGAAGGAGAGAAAGAAAAATAAACAACTAATCTGAAAAGATAGGAATAAAGTGTTGGATCTCGCTAGAAATGTACTCAATTATTATTTAAAACAATCAGTCGTGTTATTGTCCAACAGTCAATATGGGATTTCCCATGATAAATGTGTATCAAAACAATAGTTAGTTTTAGAAATCAGAGAATGATAAACCTCACTATTTTTATCGATCATTCAATTAATTTAATAGCTTACTCAATAATTAAATCTAGTCAGTACTGTATTGTGTTTGTTTATAATTACCAATTCTTCTGAAGCTGATGATTTGCTTTCTGGGACCTCACTCAAGTGATCAATCTTTGTTTATAAGCCTTGGCATTATCAAGAGGCCATTTGACTTCAGTTAGCATAGGATCACAGCCAAACTCCATCTTATCCTCATCTCAACATCTCAACATGCAGACTTTCACTGGAATGTTATCAGTGAAGCTGACTAATTTTCTGGGTATGAGAGTAACCGAGTGTTGAACTCTTTACTATCTTTTCCATATTATAACCTTCTATGTATGATTTAGGGAGTTGGATATAACACAGTTTGGGACTCCACATAACTAATGTAGCTGTGTCTTCACCAGTCTACTGTAGGTTTACTTAGCCTCACATGTTCAGATACCAACACTTTAAAACTAATAAATGTAAAAGTGAAGGACAGAGAGCTGGTATGGTGGGGAGGGAGATGACATTGTTTGGAAAGATAGAAGGGTTGGCACTATGCTGAGACGGAAAGCATGTGTGGGAGACATTAACAAATACAAATATTATAAATATATTTTATTCTACATACTGTATGCTATGGCTAAAATGACTAACAAGAACATTGAAATAGTTAAAATGTAATCTTGTCTTGTTGAACACAATCTGTAATGTTCTGCAGTTCACAGCAATGCTGTGCTTATCTTCACAGAATTAAAGTATTACATCAAGTGAATATAAAAAAATGAATATTGTAATCAATGTTGGCATTGTGCCTTGCAAAAATTCAGTGCTTTTTAAATATCATTAAAGAGGTGATTGCTTGATTCTCGCCCACCACAAACTTACACTGCGTGGGGACACTTTGTACTGTTCATGAAATCACCTGTTGCTGGCTCTACTCTCATTTATATTGGTGACATAGCATAAGAGGTCCAGGTCACAATCTCAAGCCTTAGCAGCAAAGCATCTCCCAGACTGACTCACAGACATGTCACCCAGAATATTGAAGGAAAAGAAAGCTGACAATTGTTGCACCTTACATTTTGCAAAAGTATCCTCTTGTCACCTGGGCACAAGGTGGTAAATGTTGTGGAGTTTGGCCGTATTTGACTTTCATCCTATATTTAAGAAACATCTTCCCAATTATTATAACAATGCATTTTTCCTATGGTGATGGCATGCACCTTACTAATATTTATGTTTTTTATCCCTTATTTAGCTCTCGCCAAGTTACAAACCCACGAAATCCGAGAGAACAAATTGACCTGCTCACTCAACCTGCTTCCCTTGGTGCAGCTGTCTAGCTGTCTGCCAGGAGGCTTGTGATGGTAGCCTGCCGATGCTTTCTCCTTTCCTGCTAGAAGATGCTGGATCTTTGCTCATTGCCTGAGATTAGCACTTCAGCCGAGCGAATCAATGCTCAGATCTGTGTGCCTCAGCTCCAAAACTCTGTTTTACAGATTCTAATTGTTTCCTGAGCATGAACAATTTCTAAGTTTGCAGATGACACAAAAATAGGGAGTGTAGCAAACAATGAAGAAGATTAACAATAACTTCAGGGGGACATAGATTAGTTGATTGGGCAGAGGAATGATAAATGAAATTTAATGTCGACAAATGTGACATTATACATTTTGGGAGAAAGAATGAGGAGGAATGAGGAGAGGAACCATAGCAAGTATATGTTGGGTCATAAAATATTAGAAGGAGAGGAAGTGCAAAGGGACTTCGGAGTTCATGTGCATAATTCCTTAAAGACAGGAAAGCAGTGCACAAAGCTGTCAAAAAAACGAATGGAATAAAGAGGTAATGTTTAATTTATATAAATCATTAGTCAGACCACAGTTAGAATATTGAGGAGTCCTGTAGTTCAGTGGTTAGAGCACTCGCTTGCAAGCGAGAGACCTGAGTTCAATTCCAGGCAGGGCGAAACCTTGGGCAAGTTTCCTTACTCCACATGCCTAATAATAATCCCTCCAAAATCAAAACAATAATAAAATTGGTCATTTTCAATCTACGACTGTTTGTGGGACATTGCTATGCACAATTGGCTGCCGCGTTCGCCCACAAATGTACAGTCAATTCACTTTACAGTGTGTTCTGTGAAGCGCTTTGGGTCGTCCTCCCGACGTGAAAAGCTCTATATCAAATGCAAGTATTATTATTATTATTATTATTATTGTGTCCAGTGTTGGTCACCCCATTGGAGAAAAGACGTCAAGTGATAAAGGGAGTGCAAAGGAAACAATTTCCTAGGATTATATGGGGATGAATGATTTGACCTATGAGCAGAGACTTTTCCCATTGGAGCAAAGAAGTTTGAAGGGTGACCTGAGAGAGGTCTTTAAAATGTTGAGGGGTTTTGATAAAGTCAATAAGGAGAAATGATTTCACTGGCTGGTGAGTCAGTAACTAGAAGGCATCAATTTAAGATAGTTAATAAAGGAACAATGGGGAAGTTAGGAGAATTTTTCACACACAAAGCACTTAGGAAATAAAATGCTCTTATGGGAGAGACATGATAGGCCGAATGTCGTTCTTCCGTGTCATACATTTTCACAGTTCTCTATGGCTCAAGTAGAGTTGAACAATGATTGAACTAAAGTCCATATTTGCCTTCAAAAAGGAAATGGATAAATACCTTTAAAGAAGCAGCTGATTCTCTTTAAGGTACCTCTCCAGTTCCTTTAAAGTGCCAGATCTGATGAGAATAATAATCCTTGCATTTGATATAGTACCTTACCACACCAGTAAAATTTCCCAAAGCATTTCATTTCACAGGATTTACTGTAAGGCATAGTCACAGTGCAATTGTAGGCAACCATTCTGTAGAAGAAAAAAGCTCTTTGCTTCTGTTATTGAAGAGTGCAAAAAACATTGTCAATAACATGATAAGATCCTTCTTAACATTGTTGGACCAATTACAGTTATTATTGTAAACAGAAGCCAATGACATTGGTCATAAGTGAGATGAGACTTGTAGCTTCCTGTGTACCTTGCTATTGCCAGACTCAGTCATTTCCTATTGATAAATTGATTAGACCTTAATGCCTCCACTTTAATTCATTCTTGAGAAGATTATCTCTATGATTTTCTTGAAAGAGTTACATAATACATTCACAGAATGCTAACTGATAAAGATTTCAGAAGGGAATGAGCAAATATAAATGCTTGAATGCTGCCTTAAAAAAGTCAGTGTTTAAGACCATGTTCTTGAATTAATTTGCACGTCAATACATTGATTTCCCTTTTTGTTTCATTGATATTTTCTGCAAAATCTCAAATTTAAAAAAGAACTTCATGCAGAGGATAGTGACAATATGTATCTCACTGCTGGAAGCTGTTGTGAAGCAAAATATTCCTCATATTTAAGAGGAAATGTGATGCATACAAGAGGTAGAAGGGAATAGAGAGGCAAACCAGAGTAAATAGAAGTGGTGGAGGCTTGTGTGGAGTATAAACACCAGCATGGACCAGTTGGGCCAAACTACTTGATTCTCTGCTGTAATATTGTATGTAATGTGGGCTATAACTTTGATCATACACTGCTGAGTTCATCACGCTTTGCTTTCCCGCAGAGGGAGAGTCATTGCTGGAAAGCTCACAGTGACTAATTTCACACTAGTATTAATGGTAGACTGCGAGAGGTCTTGGAAACAGATATGGAAAAGTGACAGTGTACCATACAAAGTGTGATAATGTCTCACAAACTAAAGCAAACACAAAAACCCTCTGTAGAAACAAATGATGGTGGCATTTTGAAAAATGAGATTTAAAATAATGATTTTGAGTTTATAATTTAAGGTTCAATTGATTGTGTTAGTCCAGATCACGTACAGCTACACTTCACCTTGTAGAGGCTACAATGTATAAGTGCATAATGATACAGAGAGTGGGTTGGTACAGAAGTTCACTGTGGGTAGAGGGGCAGCAATACTTAAAAAACAACCTTTTTTACCTCCAGAAAACAACGTACAGTGAATAGGTTGACTTACATGAGAATGAATGACTTTTGTATGAACTCCTTCAGTTCCCAATGCCAGCAAGCACTGCTTGCTAAGACTATGCTTCAATGCAAGTATATTTCATTTTGCTGGTTGGGTCCCATTGCTGATTGCAAGTACATTTGCCCATACGATTGCCTCATAACTCTGTTTTCCTATTATTTTTACTCTTGTATTTCTGCGAAGAGTTTGTGTATACCTAACAGGGAATATATTCTATTAAAAACATTCTCCACCATTACCAATAAACTGCAACGTCTGTGGATTCAAATATCGAATTGTGAGATTTGCAAATAAAGAATCGTAAATCCCAAGCTGCAAAGTTAAAAGGCATGTGCGTAAAATGCAAAGTGGTGTAAAAGAAAGCAGTGGCTTGCTGGGGACATTTTGCTTTTGGGGACTTTGTCCTATTGGGAATTGTAACTCTCGTGTGCAAATTTCACATGGGGTGCCACTAACTGATAGTCGCAATTAGTGCAAAAATTCAGCTTGCTGATAACACATTTTCAACATCAATGTTCTTATTTATCTGTTGTAAAAGTTACTCCACGTTTGAGGATTGTAGTGTATTGCATGTCCCCTCCATATCTAGGCCACTCTCTTGACAGCTCCGTTTACCAAAAGGGTCAATGATTCAGACTGATCAGAAACTTAATGACACTGTCAGCTGTGTACTATACCAATGTATATTCACCAGTGCTGTGCTTTCTGGCCAGGGATAGAAGTATAAACTGGGTGAAGAATGACTGTCAGTGTACCTGTCCACCCTTGTTGTAGAGGCTCCAAACCAACACGGAGCTACACATTTATACGCTGCCGCGTTCGCCCACAAATATACAGTCAATTCACTTTACAGTGTGTTCTGTGAAGCGCTTTGGGACGTCCTCCCGACGTGAAAAGCGCTATATCAAATGCAAGGATTATTATTATTATTATTATAATTTATTCTCAATCATCCAGGACAGATAGCACTGAAAACCACGACTTAACATTTTCTCCGCATGTGGTCAACCTATCTAACAGGTGGCTCAGTGAGTGGTCAAATTAACTGTGAGTAATAATTAGGTAAAAAAATGATTCATTTCAGCAAAGTAGCATAAGTCCATTATTACCACATTGTTTTAGGTGGTGCTTTCTTTAGAAAAGCACACATGGATATATTTGGGGTAAAATACTTTCCGGGTGCTGGGAGATCTGCCATTGTTTTCTATATAAAACCAGTGAATGGCACATGACACAATAGAAACTACAGTGGCTTTTTACAGTAAATCAAAAGAATATAAATTATTATTTGATTTATTTAGGAAATACTGCTAATGAACAGCTTTTTGCACTTCACCTGTAACAGAAACCGAATATCTATGTACCGTCCATTATAGGTAGTGCTATAAATTGTAAACAAAATGCATCATTCAAAAACTGCTCGGTCAAAGAATTCAAACTAAATCACGGAATGTTTTAATTACCACATGCACAAAAAAAAGGAAATAATTCTTGCTTTAGTAGCAGATTATTTTAGGTAACAGTTTTTTTAAATTCACTTCAGTTTTTTTTAAATTGCATTCGATTTCTCTTCCATTGACAATTTAATTAGCTGAAATTGTTATATCTACTTACCATACAAGACGGTAATGAGTGAGACAGGCATGACCAGGATTCCCACCAGCATGTCAGCTACTGCAAGAGACATCAGGAAATAGTTTGTGGCATTCTGCAATTTTTTCTCAAGTGATACTGCCATAATAACAAGGATGTTTCCACCAATCGTTAAGACAATTATGATGATAATCAGCAGAGCTGGCCAGTTTTTCTCCTTTCTGTCTTCACTGAATTCAGGCACCTCTGTTAGGTTCCAGGAGCCGGTACTGTTTGCAGGTCCGCTCAGGATTCTGCTGAGGATTGCGCTCACATTTGGCAGAAAAGGGACTGAGGAAAATGCGGAAAAGTTCTCTGCTTCATTTGAAGAGCTCATTCTCTCGACTTCGGGTCACGACGTTGCTGATCAGAGAAACAGCTTGCACTTAAAATGTGCCATCATCACGGTGTAAGGAGGAAAATAGCACTGATCCTAAGATCTACCATTCTTAATCTGCATTCAAAACACCTACAGCTGCTTCACTATCTGACTTGCTGCTGATTGCTCTCAAGTCGCTGCACAAACCATATCCACTGGATTATCATAATCGTTCCCAGAATATTTACCCCTCAGATGAAAAAATGCAGCTGTGGAGCATCCGAAGTCATTCCTTCTTTCACATAGCTCGTTGCTGGTGTCATTTTTCGCCCCCCTCTGAAAATCAGCTGTTTAAACATGGTCTGTGCCCATTGCAGACACGGAATGAGACCGTTCATCCCAGATTGGAACTGCACTTGCAAAGCCAGTGCATCTCTTCAGGTCTGTCAGTCACTGTAGTAGCAGCCGATGTTACATTTCCCAAACGTTAGCTGCATCATGTCCTTTTAACCGATGGTTTGCTGGTAACAAGAGTTGTGTGAAAAGTCTCCTTGATTCACCGATTAGTAGATCCACCGGTCTGTTGTCCGTGATGTCTCGTTCATTCTCCAGTGCGTCTGCTTGCTGCCTTTCCTCTGGTCGCCTTCACCTCCCTTTGGCAGGATACCAGTCTCAGAAACGACTACTTTGTGTGGGTGAGCTGCATCACTGAGTATGGGAGTTATAGCAAAACATCTCAATCGTCTTTTCTACTGGAATTTATCTGTTCAGTTTTCTTGGGTCAGATTGTGAAAGGATAAACAGGATATGTTGCAATGGTATAAATTTCTGGGATTAGGCCATTCCTACTGATTAATCAAATAAAGAAACGTTTTACAAATAGCATTACATTTAACATCACCAAAACATGCCATCATTCCAATCTGAAATTATCGTTTAAAATCTACACTAAAATTTACTGACTTCCAGTCTCCACTCACACAAGGAAGGTAATTAAAACAAGATGTACTGATGTGAGCAGGAGCCAGTTCAAATTCTTACTCCAACCAGATATAAATTCAGCCTCTTTGGATTCATTCAAAAAATAGAAATACAATTCTTATCCATTGATATATACATTCACAGACAATGTTGGAGTTCTCCTGACATGAAAGGCATGATGCAAATGCAATTTGTTGTTGTTGTGACTTAAAGCACTAATTCAGTTTTACTTTATTTTGTGATTTTTCTTCATGTTTTTGTATGTTCCAGTTGGAGAAGCATTAGACAACATTCTGATTCAGAGCCAGAGTGCTACCGACTAAGCCAGCTTGACACATTATTCACCTTCCATAAAGATGGTTTTCCATTTGCAGAGCAAATATACAGCAACAAAGTGCTCTGAGACGCTGCCCTGTGTGGAGGTCTCTATATAAGTGGACGTTGTTGTACATTTATCAACAAGTATGTGTGTCACCAAGGATGCTATTCTACAACAATAATTTAAATTTTAATTTATATAGCACCCTTTACATCAGGAACATGTCTTAACGTGCTTCACACAATTGACAGGGCGCCTGAGTTAGGGGCCTGCAGTGGGATGGGAGGAGAAGTTGGTTGAAAGTGTAATCAAAAAGTTAGGTCTTAGGGCAGATTTTGAATTTGATGTGACGACCAGGGTCTTGAATTTGATCAGTTGAGGGATGGGGAGCCAACAGAGCTGAATGAGGATGGGGTAAAGGGCTTAACAATTTCAGACCACAACAACTCACATTCACTCTCCCCTTCTTCTGTGACCATTACCACATCATCTGGGTCCCAGGCACACCTTTTCTCTCTCTTATCTGCCTATTTTGTTGCAATTTCACCCCCCACTCTGTTTTGCATTATTAATACCTCTATTCCCCTGTCTTGTTGCAATCCCCCACCCTTTGTTTTGCATCATTAACACCTCGTTAACCCATCATCCCTTGTCCTCTACCCCATTTTCTCCTTTCTCTTCCTTGTCCTGCCTCCCCCTCTCTGTTAGCCCTTAAAAGCCTCTCCCTCCCAACATGCCCCAGTTCTGACGAAGGGTTGTGGACCTGAAATGTTGACTCACTTTCCTTTCTCCATAGATGCTGCCTGACCTGCTGAGTGTTCCCAGCGACTTCTGTTTTAGAAATCCATGGTAGCTGCTTTTATTTCTTTTGTTATCATTATATCATTTAAAATTGCTGGAGAATGGCTCAGACTTACTTGCCATTTGAGCAGTTACTTTATTTTGTTGATGCTCACCTACACAAAGGTAAGTGCAAATTGCAGCTGAAGTATTAAACTGACAACATTACATATTGCAGTGGGCAGATGAACCCCATTGATCTTTTGCACAGGCATTTCTATGTTGCACCATACATAGAGCTCAAAGTACAGCATTTGATGTGATATTATCCTTTGTGATGATCCTCATGATGTCTAGTTCAAACAATTGCGATTTGTGCCACTTTAACATCGACACTGGAATCAAATTTCGAAACAACGCTAATGTCTCTCCAGAGATTTTACACCAATAACTATAAATTGCCTTTGGTGAAAGTAATATTATATCAGCAAAACACATTTTTTGATAATGCTACTAGGAACTAGGGATAAGCAGGAAATCATATGTAGAATTCAAGTGACTAATAAAAACTTAGGTGAAAAGATTAAGGAAGCTGGTCTTATTCAAATTGGGAAAAAGGAGATTGAAAGATAATTGAATAGAAGATTTCAAAACCTGTAAAGGTATGGAAAAAGCTGATTCAGGCAAGGTGGTAAGACTGATAAAAAGGTCAAAAATAAGAAAGATCATTTTAAAATGATGAGAGGAGTAAATGGGCATTTTAAGCAGAGCTAGTTACACAGAAAATTAACATGAAATAAACAATTAGAAAATGTAATAGCAGCTTATGTGCTTACTGTGTGCAGAGAAGATCATCTTAACTGATCCTCTCCTCCATAGACACACACTGGTTAAATTCTCTTTACACAGGGATGCCTGTGAAAGTCTAACCTGTAGAATTTAACTGAGAGCTTTTACATTTAGATATAATGGGTCCCAATGGGTATTCAGTATTGCCTTTGAAGAAACAAATACGTTGAAAACACAGAGAGTTACAGATTATTCAAGTGGGAACTATGAGAATTGCCCACACTGGGTTATCTGGCTTCACCAACTTTTTATGACACCGTTTCAGGATTTTATAAAAGAAGCCTTTAAAGAAGCATCAAAGTAAAAATACTTGGCCAACTTTTATCTTTTGTTTTGGAAGAACAGAAGAGCCATGTTTCATTTTTATCATGGTGGCATTGTGCACAAATGGCATAATGAGGCTGTTTGGTTGTGATTTACATCACCTTCCTGTATATGAAGGCAAATGAAAAAGATCGCCTAAGCATTCTTCCTAAAGGCTGGGACCCCCTCCACTTTAATTAATGCTATCTCAGCCTTCCGCCTTCACTGTGTTGAGTAAGAGCTACATTGTTCTGTTCAAGTCCATTCAAGGACATTGTCGCTTTAATACCCAGCAGGAAATGCTCAACATTAGGTCAACTGCATAACAGTACAGTAACATTTATCTTCCAAAAATACAGCTAGATTTAGGATTTTTATGAGAAGTCAATAGCATTTAATGCTTCTTCGCTTGGAGCTTTGATTAACTTGTGACCAAAGAGGTCTGTGCAAGGCAAAGGGAACAATATCTCACACTAATTAAACACAAAATATAAAAATTATGCATCATATAATTTGTAATATAATCTATTAATCAATTGAAAGCAATGGTGTATTTCTAAAACTGTTGTTACCCATTTAGGGCAATTAAGAGCTGGGAAAACTCAGCAGGTCAGGCAGCATCTATGGAGAAAGGAAAGTGAGGCAACGTTTTGGGTCCACGACCCTTCGTCAGAACACGACCCTTCGTCAGAACCAGTTCTGACCCGAAATGTTGACTCACTTTCCTTTCTCCATAGATGCTGCCTGACCTGCTGAGTTTTCCCAGCTCTCTCTGTTTTTGTTTCAGATTTCCAGCATCTGCAGTATTTTGTGTTTTGTTAAGGCAATTAAATATCCTTTTAAGAATGAGCAAACAGATCTGAAGATTCAGCACAGATAAACCTGCCAGCTCATTGAATATATAGCAATGGAGGCATCATCTTTACCAACAAAGCCAACAGTACAATGCAAGGAATATTTGGAGATTTTCTCTTGCCTCTGAATAAAGCTATTCATCATATGGATTGTGGCATGGGTAATAGGGAATATTATTCAAACCTGTGTCAAATTACTTTGCATTCTCTCTGGATCCAGTCATTTGAGTCTAGTTTGTGATATTTCTTAATAGGAATCCTCAATATGGAATCCCATTCGAATTCCCAATGTTTCCACAGGTTGGTATGATATAAGTTACAAACAGATCAAGACCATATCTCATGTGCAGGACTGATGAGCAAAACAGTCAAAGGTTAAGAATAACCTCTGAAGCAGTTGTGAAACTCTACAATGTAATGAGTCGAGATGCGTCTGTAGATTTCAAGGTAGTCACTGCTTTACCAATGGCATTGTAAATATAAGCTACACTTAACTGTTTTCTCTTTGAATTCTTCAAGGTATTCATGCAGATTAAATTAGCCATCGTTTTCACTATACATTTTTCAACCTGTGTGTGATTTGTTATCTATCCAGTGATTATTTGGAAGTGTATAATGAGCAGGCACTTTAAATAGGAAAGCAAATTCAATGTTAGAGCAAGAGGACATGCCTAATTTATAGAACATCATAACATGAGAGGCTTCTTGTAATAATACAAATATTAAGGGTTTGCCTTCACTCAATTGGAACAGAAAATAGAGTCACCATGCATCCCCCCCAAATAAACTCAGGCAAAACATTACTGGATAAAGTTCCAACATGATTTGCTTACTTATATGTTCAACAACCCTATTTATAAACATCAGATCCCTATTCTTCATTGCTTTTTATACCAGACATGCCACTTTTGTTACCTATGCATTGTACCCAT